TTGTCTTTTCTACCTTACGTACCGTAGAGCAAAGTGATGATGTCGTAAGCAAATGTCGTGTCCTGGCAGGCCAAGACATATTCCCTTGTATGTAGGAATCGTTCGACCGTGCCAATATCGTAGGCATGCACCCGCCGCCTCCCCTCCCCTGTTTCCACCACGTGATTGCTTAAAATTTTTGAATCCAAAAAAGCGGGGCCCGTAACGCTTTCTCCCCCCTTTCTCCAACGACAGGAAATCAGCGCCTGCGACCGGACCACGCATTGGGACCTACAACAAAACCAGGGCCGGGGCGCCACGGAGATTGACATCATGGAGGCAATGTCTGGGAAGCCCCACAAAGTGACAAAGAAAGGCGACCTCGGTGTCGGCGTCCCGTACATGTCCAGCACCCTCCAAGTTTCGCCTGGAGTGGAAAAAAACCGTCCACAGGCCGGGAAGAACTTCACCGAGCACCAGGTAAGTCTGGAATCACCACGAGGCGTGCGACGCCCACGAGCTCCCTCCCGCACGTGCCTGCCGCCTTCCCCCCTCCGCACGGTGCTTCCTTTCGGGGTCTCACAAGATCTGTCAAACTTATCTACCGGACAGGAGGAGTGGACCTGGTACGACGGTCTCCGCTTCGGGGAGAAGAGCAAGATGAACATGTATTTCTATGGAACACTGCTGGACAAGACGCAGAAGGACGAGCCGGCGGGCCGAAGCATCCACCAGGTCTACCAGGCAGACGCGGTCTCGGCCCTGACCTCACTCAGCGCCACGCACTGGGAAGATTTCCACACCTACCGGCTGGAGTGGATGCCCGGGCCGGAGGGGTATCTGGCCTGGTACTTGGACGGAGAGATGCTTTACGACGTCCCTGCTTCGGCCCTTTCGAACGTGACGGGCGCGCAAATCCCAGTGGAGCCCTCCTACGTGATTTTGAACACGGCTGTCTCTACAACTTGGGGGTTTCCGGAAACCTGCCCCGCTGGTTGCGCCTGCACGTGCTTCGATTGCGCGAAGCCGGAGTGTCAGTGCGGCCTCCCCGAAGGCTTGTGCGAGAGTCTCCCGGCCTCCATGCTGGTCGACTACGTCCGAATCTACCAGCTCGAGGATGATGAGAGGCATTTCCTTGGCTGTAACCACCCGAAATTCCCCACGCGGAAATTCATCCAGGCACACCGCTGGCGGTACCAACGGTAGGAAATCCTCCCTCCCTCCCTCCCTTTTCCCTCCCTCCCCCCGCATGTCTTCCCCCGATTTTGCTCTTGGGTCGATGCGGGCGACAGGCTACTGAGTAAGAGCACATGGACCTGTCTGTCCGTCATCCGTTATTTTTATCTTGACCCCTACCTCGTCGCTCTGCGGCTCCTTCCTGTGTCTTGTTCCTCCCTCGTTTTCTCAGCGATCATGAGAAGGTGCCTCTGAAGCCTGTCCATCGAGGCCAAGGAAAATGCGCGAATGACGCAGACTGCAATCCGGGGGGCTCCTGCAACCGAAGAAGG